CTTTCTATTTTCTTGATGATATCAAATTCCTCATTATCTACATTAAAATATTACATTGATTTTAGGTTCATCCTAAAGATAACAATATCATCAAATCATCAAGGGTTCTAAAACAATTCAAGGGTGACTTCGTATAAATGCAACCCTAATGGGGATCTAAGATAAAATCAAGTAGCTACTGGTAGATATAATAGTGACGAGGATGATAAAACCAATACAAAAGTCAATACTAGTTTACTGAATGCCATTTATCTTTAACATCTGAGAAAAATAATATGAATTTTCTCTATACTAATATCATATAATGAAAAAGTATGATGTAACTATCATTGAAAAAAACAATCTATTCTGGACTATTTCATATAATAATGGATAAATATTATAACTTTATATGTTGTTATTCAAAATTATAAATTCTGACTCTAAATAAAACTACTAAATCTATCAGTTTCAACATCTTTAATTCCACTTATTCTTTCTTGCATTCATTTTAAACATCTCTCATCTATAATCATATAAATTAATAATAGAAAATAACATTTGGAGTTTATGTAATACTTGTAACATCTCAAGCCCATTTCGTATTTTTCCCATTTCAAAACTGCACTGTCTTAAAAATAACAGACAGACAACTATTGCATGCACGCAACCTGTCTCTATATAAATTGACGACAACTTCCAATAGTAATAAAAAATAATAAAGTAAAAAAGAAAAAGAAAAAAAAAAAGAAAAAAAGGTAAAAAAAATAAAAAAGGACTAAGCAGCAAATAAAAAAAGGTAAAAAAAAAAAGAAAAGAAAAAGAAAACCCTGAGTTCTTTAAGGTACTATACCAGTATAGTTTGTGGGAGACACAGAACGAGCTAACTCCATCTGTGTGCAAGTAGCTCTCTCTGTGGTCCATGGTCCTGGGGTCACACTTTCTGGGATGCTCAGTGGGTCATCAAAGGTTGAAGGTTGACCCACTAAGTCAACAGCTGAAAAACAAAAAATCAATAAATAAAACCTTAGATGTGAGTGAACCTTGAAACCCAAGAAAGTTTCCATGACCAAAGAAAAAATGTACTCTAATCAGCAAACCTGTTGGTTAACTTATAAAAGATTCAAAATAAGCAAAAAGCGAGCCTTAATTTCAAGAGCATAACTGATGAAATGATATCCCATAGGTAATAAGATGAGAAATTGTTTATTTTCTGATGTTGAAGATCCTAATGAATATGACCATATCAATACATAAAAAATATCAGTATACACATACAATACTTTCACTTACTAATAATCTTCGTAATAAGAAAGTCATCATCAACAATGAGAGCATTATTGAAGAAGGCTTGAATCATGGCAAGCAGCTGAGGTGGGGTTGTTGTTACAATGACTCCAAACACATCTCTGGCCTTCCAAGCATAGGGTTGGGATAACTGTTCTACCTGTATGGGAGACAAAGTGGCATTAGAAGGAAGTAAAATTACTCATCTTTTGCCTGAAAAATATTAATAAAAAAAAAGAAAGAGAAACATATCTGGTAGTCCTTCAGAAATTGATATCAAAAGAGAAAAAGAAAGTGAAAGAGGAGGAGGAGTAGGAGGAAAATGTTAAAAAGGAAAAACAAACAAACACATTCTAACCATCACATAACAGTCTAGCAGCTGATTATCTTCTTGCTCTCTGTATGAGGCTTCAAGGAGGACTGTGATTGTTGTTGTAACATCAGACTTTGCACTTGGGAATCCATTCTCGCTCGCTTGCTGGGCTGATTCTCTTGGGTGGCTGTTACTTGGGTGATCTGCCGCCATCATGAAGAGGGTCCATCGCTTCAGGTCCACTCTTTGCTGAAACATGATGTATATCGATGTAGTTATACATCGTGTAAAAGCTGAGACTCTGACTTCCCAAGCAAGAAACTGTCGTGGGCAAAAAAAAAAAAGAAAAAAAAAGAAAGAAACTGCAAGAATGTTGGTTCTTCAATCCTCACCTTGGGAGCTATGACAACTGCCTGCTTGTTGTTGTCCCTCCAGAGAAGCTGTCCTACTGATCCCTCGTTGCTGTTTTGGCAGAAGATTGATGTGCAGCTTGGCTCATTAACTTTGATAATACCTGAATGTAAGATTAAATACATTAATATGAATAATTAAACAATTAAACAAGTATTCTCTAAAAAAACAAAAAATGCACACAATTCAAAAATAATCCTACAAACCAACAAAGTGTCCAATTGCTTTACAAGCAAGACAAAAGAAACGCAAAGGAATTATGTAAACCTGTACAAATTATATGCAAATTGGCTCACCCGAATCTGATGCTAGAATGTCCTGGACCAGCAGAGAAGAGTGAGGCTGGGAGAGTGCCTTTGCCATGAGCATCACCGCCTCACTGTGCCGCCAGCCTCGCAGCATGCGGCACAGCAATCCACACATCGACAGCATCTTGGCGTGTGACTTCTGTCACTTGTCCAATATCTTTTTTTTTTTTTATGTATCCATTAAGATACCTCGTCCACTGTTGATAGAAAATAAATTAATCAATAGTTTTTCTTATATTTTGAATATCAATTTTCTATACCTACCTTATGCTACACAGACATACCAAATCATGTAAAAAGGAAAAATGTTGTTTTCAATTATATACATAAGACTTTAAAAGTAATTTTTTTTTATCCATTTATCTTCTTGAAAATACCTATTATTGTCTAGTTTGGAAAAAAGAAGAAGAAAAAAAAAAAAAAAAAAAAAAATCCTACCTATCAGTATTCTCTCTTCACTGCAGTCATGATTGATAGTATTTTATTCATGATGCAGTGAAAGTTTATGTAATACTTGAGACTTCATGAACAATTATATAAACAGTGTTATTGGTACATAGTGATAAAATGAAACACAGGAACAACAGATTGTGAAGTTTTGAGGCAGACTAGATTGCTCACCAGATGGTAAAGCCGAAATAGACGAATCCTTATCATCTGATAAGGAGTCTAATCTTCCTTGAAAAATTGGGTTTTGTTTTTTCTTTCTTGCTGTGAACGCTTCCCTCTATTAACACCTTGCCTCCCTATTCCACACTACTTCATCTATTTTTCTTATTTGTTTGTGCAAAGGGTAACGGTACTTATTTTTTGACTGAACACCTCTATAATTATCACATATGAACCTGCAGCTATAATACAATTAAACTGTTTTTTGCAGCTTTTGTTTTTTTTTATTCAATCATGAGTACAAATTATCAGAACAAATTCTAAAAAATGCTACTTAACAGTTCTCATATATCTTTATTATGAATCATGAATGCTTCTGTTCCAAAGAAAAGATAAAAAATTTATGCATTTTAATTCAAAAGTTGTGAGCTATTATATTTGTGACAGCAAGGAAATGCTGTCACAAATGGGCTTTGCCATTTTATGTACTTTTAATAATTATTATATTGTGCATAAATTTTTATTCTCGTTTTCTTTTAAATATCCGCATATGAGACTACATTCTGCCTGATGGGATCATAAAGTCATATATTCATATTTTTAACAATATAGTTTTAACAATCTTCAAATATATTTCAACAAGTTTTTTTTACAATCAAGTATTGTTTACAGTATAATCATGGTTATCTGATTGGGGGAAAAAACCACCCTCTCTTGACAGGAATACCGCCTCCACCTTATATGACCTGAAATTCCCCAGGAGGTTATATACACGTCCTGGATGGCCGGGTCAAGGGAGAAGAGCATATCTCAGCCTTGAGGCCCGGTATTGGAGCAAAGTGGTCGCAAGGATGTGAGCTATAAGATGTAAGCTATAAAATGGGATCTTTAACTTTTCATCAATTCTCAATAAGGTTCTCTTTTTGCATATATTTATTATACTCTTTTACATGTTTTAAGATTACCCCATGCATTTTTCCCGTTTACTCTTCTCTCTCTCTCTCTCTTTCTTTCTCTCTCTCTTTTTCTCCTTCTCTCTCTCTCTCTCTCTCTCTCTCTCTCTCTCTCTCTCTCTCTCTCTCTCTCTCTTTCTCTCTCTCTTTTTCTCCTTCTCTCTCTCTCTCTCTCTCTCTCTCTCTCTCTCTCTCTCTCTCTCTCTCTCTCTCTCTCTCTCTCTCTCTCTCTCTCTCTCTCTCTCTCTCTCTCTCTTTCTCTCTCTCTCTCCCTCTTTTTCTTTCTTTCTTTCTCCCTCCCTCTCTCTCTCCCTCTCCCTCTCTCTCTCTCTCTCTCTCTCCTTCTTTCTTTCTTTTTTCCTTTTTTTCCTTTCTTTCTTTCTTTCTTTTTTCCTTTTTTTCCTTTCTTTCTTTCTTTCTTTCTCTTTCTTTTTTTCTTTCTTTCTCTCTCTCTCTCAGAATTCAAATTTGGCAATAATTCTAGAAAACTGACTGTTTTACCTATTGGAATGAATTTCTTTCTTAGAACGACACAGACGTCACTGAGAGAGAAAAAAAATAGTATTTTCATTACTCCGCACCTAGGAAGGTGAACCACATGGATAATGCTGCAACCAGCATAATTCAGTTAACAGTCTTAGAAACCTTACCAGGTCCTATCACTAGGGGGTAGCTGGGACACCCCTACAATAACCCCTCTGAATTTAATGGATGGTGTCTTGCAGTAAATGATGACAAGACAATTAATGTATGTCTTCCCCTTAGCAGAGCACTTTGGCTGAAAATGTATGACTTTCTTATAGCCAAAATTGCCATCATCCTCTAGAAAATTGTAAAACCATTTAATCCTAATATATATCATTTGATCCAAATACTAATTTAATGCAAATCCATATATCAAACCATCAATAAAGGCTTTATAACACCAAGCAATATATCATACCATTCTCTCCATAAAAGCAAAAATTTTTTTTTTTTAATGAAAACTGATTACAGACATAAATAAATACATAATACATACACATATACACATATTCTTCAAATGACAAAAAAAAAAAAAAAAAAAAAAAAAAATGCAAATACAGCAGACAAACTATACAGAAACCCAGAGGAGAAAAACAGTCACTCTGAAGCCTAAGAAGTACCGGCTATCATCTTGTTAAGCGAGGCAAAAGGTTGCTTCTCTTTACGTTATCATCCTTCCCATTGCACTGGCCTAACTGAGCTGCCTCGTACCACATCTTCATTAGTACTAAAAAAAAACAAAAACAAAAAAACTTCTGAACTTTGTCTTGTCCACCAGCAAATACATTACCAACCTGAAAAGTAATGTAAATGCCAATTTTTATTTTTACCAACTTGGACAAAAAATGTTCTAAGGAGCAAGATGACATTCTTTCTTTAAGGGTCCTTTGTGCAATGATTTTTTTTTTAGGTATAAACAAAAGCTGATATGACGTAAAGCATAATAAAATATCCCTTACATTACTGATTCAATAATAAAGACACAGATAAATAAATCAAACGAATTCTGTACACAAAATACAATTTGCAGACATGGAGGAAATGAATACTAAAATAATTTGAAAAACCACACCATACAGACACAAGTTAAATTTCTCTTTTTAGGATAACCAAGAAAAATAAAAAGGAAAAAGAAAAAAAAGAAGAGGAAGAAAAAAAGAAAAAAGAAGAAGAAGAAGAAGAGAAAAGAAGAAGAAAAGAAAAAGAAGAAGAAAAGTAAAAGAAGAAGAAGAAGAAGAAGAAGAAGAAGAAGAAGAAGAACAAGAAAAAGAAGAAAAAGAAGAAAAAAAAAAGGGAAAAAAAAAAAAAAAAAAAAAAAAAAAAAAAAATCATCATCATTAGGAACATTTCATGCAGAGAACCCTAAACTGGCAACCAGCCTTCCAGATAAGTGACTGCTCTGGGACTCTAACTGGTATTGATTTAAACCATCAACTATCACGTCGCATGCAAGGCTAACCACCCAAATTTGCATATGTGGAAACCTGGCTCTGAAAAAGAGACT